CAACTTTACAGATCTTCTTTATGCAGCAAGAGCTTGTAACACTCCTAAGAGAAAGAAACACTTGAAATCGCATCATATGACCTCTTTAAGGATGAACTCATGTACATGTTGAGAGTGTGATGACAATCTGTGTAGCTCCAGAATATTAATAATGATGTGCTTGACATCTACAGGTGGGAATAAAGAAACCTAAACTTGAACAAAAAGAACCAGTTCAGCATCAAATATTCTTCAGGACTGTCCAGAAGAGGGCAGCAGGCACTCATGTAGGTTTTTCATCAAGTCTAATTGACATCAAGAATTGAAAACAGGGTGTGATTTTATCTAGATGCTTGAGTTGAAAGAACTTAGAAAAACGAGGTTTGTGTTTCAACTTTATTAAGTATTTCTATATTTCTATTTTATAGTAGGCCTATCTGCTCTGGACAGGTTCAGGCCCTTCAGCTTCATTAATTATAGCTCGTTTTAAGAAAACGACATTTAGTGTGGCTGTCAAGCTGAAGAACCAAACTAATATTACCAAACACAACTCATACTGATCCTATAGGATGGCGTCATTATGGATTTTATTAGAAGGATTAAAACAACAGCAGGATGGAAAGTGATATTTGATAATCACAGTTTATATATATATTTTTTTTTATGACAGAAAAATGTGGAAACACCTGGAATATTTCTTAATAAATTGTGAGTTTATACTGTTAGAACTCACTGCAGCATCCTTATGATGTTAAAAATCACCACGTGATATTATGGTGAAAGATCATTTCAATCTTAAAATGTGATTTTAATCAGAAAGTTACATCTCAATCAATACGGCTGTCTTGCATTTCCATCTGACTTCCAGAAGATGACCGTAAAAGCCACAGTTATGTAAAAAACCTTATATTATCCTGCTAAACTCTGAACTATATGATGTTTACTTGTAAATCTGTTTATATCAGTCAAAACATTTGACAGTTTTTGCACATGAGGAACTTTCACTATCATCTGTTATGTTTGATTTATAATCTTTTATAGCGTGTGTGTTTTGGGTCACCAGATAAAGCTGGAACTCTAAAGCAGGTGATTTCACAGAGAAGCAGGTCATTGAATGGTGCAGCTGATATAAAACCAAGTGATTATAAACCATAATTTGGCTGATGCCGCTGCTGCAGGACAGTAGAAGGAAACCGAGAACATTTGTACAGTAAGTACAGCAGCTTTTCCTTTCAGGATTATTTATGCGAGATTTGTAACAGATGTTCATAATAATAACCACAGATCTGATCTCTCTTTAGGTTCACTGAAAACTATTTCTTTTTTTGATAAATTAATACATTAAAAAAAAATACAGTGACATCATTGCCATTAATAATAATAATACATTTATAAAGCACTTTACATTTTAAAGAACATCTCAAAGTGCTACAAAAAGTGTCATAATATTATAAAGCAATTAGA